GCCATACTTCTTTCGGCCTGCCCATAATAATTAATAATTAAATATCCCCTTTTGAAGAGATTTAGCCGTTCATCAACGTCCCCCCAGCAGGCTCCACTCACCTTATTATATTATAAATAAAGGAGACAGGAGCTGAAAGTAGTGTCAGGTTCACATTGAACGGACGAACAAGCTGCTAAATATTTTTTGAAATTTCAAACTTCACGGGACTTCAAGTCACGTGAAGTTTAGCAGCTTAACAAAATGACTGTTAAACTTCACGGGACTTGAAGTCCCGTGAAGTTTGTAAAGTATTTTCGCAAAAACTGACCTGGTTTCAACGCTGGGCTGAAACCAGGTCGGTTTTTGCAAATAAATTCAAAATGGGTCTTTTTTTGCGATTAAATGTCCAAATAGGACGGTTTTGAAAATTTGTCCTATCGAAGACGCTAAGCGAAAGCAGCAAGGTGATGTTTGTGGCTAAATCCTCCCAATGACTCTCAGATTAAGAAAGATTAAATATCCTAAGGATTCAAAAATTTGTTGATGACAACAGAAGCATATAAATTTATTGAGAATGAGGATAATATAAAATAAAAAACAAATAATGAACTGCTCCCCAACAGAAGCATATAAATTTATTGAGAATGAGGATAATATAAAATAAAAAACAAATAATGAACTGCTCCCCATTTAAGAAAACATCATACAAATAGAATGAGGATAATATAAAATAAAAAACAAATAATGAACTGCTCCCCATTTAAGAAAACATCATACAAATATTGAGCTTCACACTCGAGCACGTCATATGCCAGAAATTCTCATGTCTAGTGCTAGCTGCAATTCACAGTTAGCGTTCCTCTTAAACTTTCTTCTCTCCCCTCAAATGGCAAACACAAATTATTTATTGAAAAAACTAAGAAGTTAACAAATCCTAAACTAAAGAAGAAATGACATCAAATAACATCCGCAGTAAAAAGAAGATAACATCAGATAATATCCTAACTAAAGGAAAAAGAAAAAATAAATAAAACCATAACTAATTCATCTATTCTAATTAAACAAAATCAGATCAAAATTTCATCAAATCTTTTTTCCAGATTCAGATCTGAATTCATCCTGCATCACTTGCTCTGATACCATGTTGAAAATAAACAGAGGAAATTCTCACCGATTATGAAGAAGGTTGCGATGCTTAATACGTGTACAACTTTTAGAGTCTCTACTAATAAAATTTTTTAGAATCTATATGAAAATGAAACAAATATATTGAATCAAGACTTAATTATTAAACAACAACAAAGCATATGATATCTTCGAATAAGAGGAAACATCTAATACAGGAAAGTCCTAAATTGTATGCTATGGGAAAGTCATAAATCGTGTGATTCTAAAAAGTCTTAAATTGTATGATACTATATTTAAACTAATACATTGAATCTAGACTTAATTATTGAAAACAACAAATCATATAATATCTTCTAATAAGAGGAACTAGCCAATTTGGTTAATATGTTGATACAAGGTTATCTTTTTTGGTCAATGAAGTAAATACTTTCATTAAACCAAGTGAGCATTTAGAGAGCATTACTTAGGCATACCTGAGTTTGTACATCTCAAAAACCGTCAATACAACATATGACAGTATACAACCCAAAAAAACACCCATATACTACAATACATAGTTGCAGAGTACGTGGAACATAGCTAGTCATGCATGAATTTGGCTATGCAATTTGCAACTTAGAATATCTGGATGTGATATTCTGTTTTTTTTTTTTTTTTTTTGGGGTGGGGGGGGGGGGCTTTCACATGCGAGCTCGGTCAGTGATATGTTGTAATAAATCTTTTGGGTGTGCTTATTATTTTCCAAAGTGTATAGTAGAAAAGTAGAACTATAAAGCTACTTATGTATTTCAACATTTTTTCATAAGAAATACTTAAATGCTTCTATTCTATGGAGTTCATTCTTTTGTTCTGTTTTTCTTTTCATATAGTTTGTGTTGGGATCATGGTTTCATTTCACGATTTATTAATATAGGTATTTAGTTATAGTGAAGTTATTGACTCATATATTCCATTGTGCACCTCTCTTTACTTGATTGCACACATTGCATTGCTTCTTGCACATGTACACTTAAAGGGATTTTTGTCCCGCTTATTTATAAGCGTTATGCCAATTTTGGTGAACCAATTCAGAGGGAATTGATATGAAATGTATCAGGAATCGGTTCCTGTACGACGGTTTGAGGAAGGTCCAGGGAATCTGTGCAACTATACAGCAATACACTATTAACAAAATTCCAACTACAAATTCTCCACCCATAAACAAAACTGATCTGGCACTTGGCAATGATATAAGGATATCAAAATGAGTACTCTAACCTGGTTCACAACCTGGACAAATCTCTCTTCACATTAGGGTGAACTTTGGTATTCCTCTCTGTCCAGATACTATATGCTGCAGTAGATATTGCTAGCTTCTTCATCTCATGGGAAAAACATTTCCTACCCCAATTTTGAGTTTATGAAGAATACAAGCCGTATACAACTTCTTCTTTGAAAATTCGTATATCGAATTCCTTACATATATTGAATTCCTTCAATAACTGAAGAATTCTGATTTGTTGTTATATTTTGATGATATTGTTGAATATTGAGTCCTTTGTTATTTGCATACTGAAGAATTCTGATTTGTTGTTATATTTTGATGATATTGTTGAATATTGAGTCCTTTGTTATTTGCATAAGCAAATTTACAATTTATCCTTTTCATTTTGATGATATTGTTGAATATTGAGTCCTTTGTTATTTGCATAAGCAAATTTACAATTTATCCTTTTCAGATTTTTTTGGAGTATTGGAATTGGTTTAGGGAATAATCAATAAATAAGTTATCCATGTTTTTTCTGTTGCATTGAACTTAAGTTGTCGGGTTCCCATATAAAAGGAAATTCTTTTTGTGATTTAATTGACATTTTCAGTAGTGATGTTTACTAGGCATCTTGACAGGGGTTTGACTCTCTTTTTTAATGCTAATGGTTCTGCTAAGTAGAGTGTTTCAAAATAATGAATTTCTAATCTTTACTTGGACATTTATGTTTTCATATTAGAGGACATACAGAAAGATGTCCTGAAGGTCAACTTTCAAGAAATACTGAAATTTATTTGTTCATGCTTCCACATAACCTGTAACAGTTATAATATGCAATAGTTTTTATGAGAAAAATTTGTTGCACAAAATAAATAAGGAAAAAGAAATGTTTTATTTGTAAAAGATTAGATCGTGTCGTGGAGAGTGAAGAAACTAAATCGTAAACCTTTTTTATACTGTGTACAAGGCCTTAAGAGTATTTTGGGATGTAAACATGCGATTCCTGCACTATTTCTCATTGGAAGTCCTTTTGCCTGCAGGATTGTGCTAACAGACCAATTTCAAGTGCACCAGATTCTTGGATTGATGTGGTTGAACGTTATAGCAACGACAATAACAAGACATTGCAGTAAGTGCTAGTATGCGGTTCCCCCAAATACTATGTGAAAAGCTCTTCCTCGCTCGCTGGCAAATGTGTCACTGGTGATCTTTTGATCACTTAACAATAGTTCACTAGTCTTCCAAGAATAATGGTTCTTAAGAGCTAGAAGATACAGGTTGATGAATGATTAAAGGAATGTACATAAAACTCAAACCTTTAAGCTTCTGTTTAGTTGTTACTGATTGATATTTAGATGCATCAAATACGTTATTTGTTATTCAAAAAAGGAAAGAATGTAACTAGTTTTATTAATAATTGCAGCCGGACCACAAATTCTACTAGATGTCTCAACCTAGGATCATACAATTACCTTGGTTTTGCTGCAGCGGATGAATATTGCACACCCCGTGTTATTGAATCCCTCCAAAAATACTCTCCCAGCACTTGCAGTGCTTGTGTAGATGGAGGTAGGGATGTTCTTCCTCATGATTATTACACGTTAAAATTTTGAATAAAAGATAATCTATATTTTCTCGTTGTTTGGCATCAGGAACTACAAAACTGCACGCCGAACTGGAGGAGTTGATTGCCCGATTTGTAGGAAAGCCAGCTGCTATTATATTTGGTATGGGTTATGTCACAAACTCTGGCATCATTCCCGTCCTCATTGGAAAGGTTTGTACTTGACATTGTGAACTTCAAACTTTGAGATTCTTTCATAACCAACTATTAGTAGTAAATTTAAAAGAGGATATAGCTCTTAACAGAATTGAATAGAAAAATATGAGTCATGTAGCCAACCCCAAAAGTTCTGGATAGCCTTTGTTATTGTTGTTCACGTGACCAACTACTGATTGGGATTTCCTATGATCATTTATACAGGGAGGATTGATAATTAGTGTTGTTCACGTGACCAACTACTGATTGGGATTTCCTATGATCATTTATACAGGGAGGATTGATAATTAGTGATTCTTTAAATCATAACTCAATTGTCAAATTTCCTATGATCATTTATACAGGGAGGATTGATAATTAGTGATTCTTTAAATCATAACTCAATTGTCAACGGTGCTCGAGCATCAGGGGCAGCAATACATGTCTTCCAACACAACAGTAAGTTTTGAACCTTTGATGCATGATTAGATTTAGCCTATGTGCAAATATTTAATGCTTTCATTGGATTTTTACATGTAGAACCGGCTCACTTAGAGGAGGTGCTAAGAAAGCAGATTGCTGAGGGACAACCTCGTACACATAGACGCTGGAAAAAAATACTAGTTATTGTTGAGGGAATCTACAGCATGGAGGGAGAGCTCTGCAAACTTCCAGAGATTATTGCCATTTGCAAGAAATATAAGGTTTGCTTTTTTACATATGAGATTTAAAGACTAAAATTCACAGGGCATCAAATGCTAGCTTTTATGATGCCTATCATGGTTGGTTTTAACACTTGGAATATTATTACATCTCGTAACTTTTCGTTGACAATTAAACTGTCATAGATACAATAACAAAACCTTTGTCCCAAGTTTGTGGGATGGATTCCATGAATTTTACTCTTCCGTTCAGTTCTGTTGAGGGCAATCTCCTCCACTAAGTTATTCATTTCCATATTCTTGTCAACATTTTTGAACATGTTCTTTCAGACCTATCTGTACTTCTTACTTCTCCGTTAACTATAAGGTTTTTACCCCTTCGCCCTCCAAAAATTGAAGGACTTTGGGGGTGGGGGTGGGAGTTTAAATGAAACTTTCTTAATATTTTAATGTTATCCTCAGAGAAATAAAAAAGAGTTAATTGAGAATAGATCCCCTGTGGTGTCACCCAATTGCGAATTGACCCTCTGTAGTTCTATTTGTGCGAATTGACCCAATTGCGAATAGATCTTCTATAGTTCTATTTGTGTGAATTGGCTCCCTGAGTGATTTTTTACTCTTAAAATCATTAACAGGATTTGAGGATGTGGCTAAACCCCATGTAGTTCTATTGGTGATGATATTCCCCCTGTTGCCAATTTTTTTGAATTTTAAAAGATTTGAAAAAGTTCACAAATGGCCTGTTCGGATTTGCTCCTAGTGAAGAGAAGTTAACTGAATATAGGATAAGTTAAGAGAAGTCAAAATGTCAAGTTTTTCCCTCTCAAATACCTTAACTACTCCACTATATCTACCTCATATTAGTTACTAAACATGGATAATGTGTCCCCTCCCTTCCCTTACGTCACATTAATCCCGATCCAAACATGCCCTAATAAAGTGTATTTGCACCAGAGCCAATATTACATGAGGACTATTCGCCATAAATAAAACTACAGGGGGTTTATTCGCAATTCAGTGATACTACTAGGGATCTATTCTGAATTAACCCAATACAAAAATATTTTGATGTACCATTCCTTCAAAAAGTGTATATTAGTCATGTAGTTTTCCTTCCTTTCCATTCTCTACTCTAAGGGGGTGTTATTCATTCTGGATTATTGATTTGGAATTGGACAATACCTCATGAATCGGGCATTGTTGGGTTGTGACTTGAACTTGGATTTTTGTGGTTAGATCCCCGGACTTCTGGATTGGATTTTGATTTTTTTGAGTAGAATTCTTAAACTTTTAGTTTGGAAATTTTAAACTTTTGCTTTGGATTCGTAAACTAAGGGTCGGATTCTCAGACTAAATTTTAGATTAAGGAATTATTGGCATTAGGAATTTCAAATTAAATTATTATGTTAAATATTAATGATTAATAAAAAATGAACATAATTTGAAAAATCACTCTCATTTCGATTAACAGATGACAATAACCAAATTGAATGCATCTTGTAATCCTTTTAAACAGTTTCAAATGATCATATAAAAAATAATTTGTATATTTAGATATGTAAATATTAATATATTATTTTATATCAAATATTTGAATGATTAAATATTAAATATTTTTATCATTTAATATACTAAAATTTTAAACATTACATATATTTAATAATTATGTATTTAATATATTTCATATCTAACATTTAAATAAAAATGAAATGTATTTAATATTAAACATTTAAACTATTTAAATAATAAACATATCTAATTTAATATTAAGTATTAAATATATTAATTGATTAAATAGTACTTAATTAATATATTTCGTTTTAAATGAATTAAATAAATTTATAGAAGTTGATTACAAATATTTTAGAATTAAATACATTCAATGTTAATAGATAAATAAATTAGAAATATAGAATAATTTAAAATTAAATATATTTAAATTAAAATATATGAAATGTTTAAATAAGTAAAGAGAAGAGGAGAGAAAAAATCTACAGAATAAGATCTCAGTCCCTACCAATTTTAACTTGGACATTCTCTTGAAATTTCTCATTAAAAATTATAGAGTTGGAATCAAGCATGAATTTTGAAATCATAGTCCTAATAACAATTCTAGACAACCAATAACACTTTAAACTCAATCCTAGTTCTAAACCAACAACACGTTAAAATTCAAATCCAAACCCCAGTTCTAAACCAATAACATCTTAATTTCAAATCCGAATCCTAATCCTAAACCAAAAACACGTTAAATTTAAGTCCAAAATCTAGTCCGAAATTAATAGCACCCTAAATTAAAATGCAAGAAGAAAAAAATCCGAGTTAGAATCAACAATCCTCAACCACTAATCGCCCTTAAACTAATTAGATTGGAGTGTACCCTCTCTTCCTCATCTTGTCTTTCAAACACAACTAATTTTTATTGTCCCTTCCCCTGCCACCCCCTCTACCTCTTCCTCATGGCAGATGTGTGGATACCTTATTCAGTCTTGGATGATCTAGAAAATATATTTTGAGGTTTTTTGTGGGGTGGCTTGACAGCTTATATCCCACATTGGGTTTTCTACCCCTCAGTTTTCAATATCACCAATACCTCTGATTAACTTAATTAATTTTATTAATTTATAAGAGCTTAGTAATTTAAAACCCCCCTCCTCTTTCCCACTTTCTAATCAACATCTAATTATAAATGAATATAATTACTTAACGTAGTCAGAGATATATTGACTTTGTGCAGTAGAAAAAAAAACATGGGAGATTTGGTAAGTAAATTAGCAAATTCTAGATCTGAGGGTAGATTTGCAAATATGATAGATTTCAAGGGGATATAAAAAAGTCATTTTAAAAGTAGCCCCTCAAATCATCGAAGTAACTATTTAGAACCCAATTCTTATTAGGCGCTCCGAATTAGTCTTAGTTTCCCGTCCTATTCTTATCTGTGGTGGTGCTAATGATTACCCCAACGTGGCAGATCACCATTTTACCTTAATTTATTCATTTCCCCAAAATCACTAATTTTGCTCTCCTTTTCTCCAGAAAACGGGTTAGGCAGAAGAAAATGATCGTTGGGGAGAAGAGGATTTGGGTCTTAAACGTGTTTGGGCTTGGATGTAAACTTGAAAAAAAAGGGTATAACTGGAAACTCGATTCATAAAGTTGTTTAATGGAATATGCCCCCAATCTACATGATAATTTTCCACAGGGACTAATATGGAGCAATTTGTATGAAATTGAGTACTTAATAGCAATTTCAAGGATTTGAAGGACTATAACACGAAAGATTGAAGGGACCCATACCGGAGAAGCCCTTAATGCTAATCTTAGACATGACCAAATTAACCATCTCAGACAATTAACCATCTTAATTAGCCATCTTAGATGCAGCCTCCTACATTTTCTACGACGCTAATTAATGGTATGCGATCTTAATTACTGTGTTTACAGGCACATACTTACTTGGATGAGGCACATAGCATGGGTGCAGTTGGAAAAACAGGCAGAGGTGTTTGTGAGCTCCTCGGAGTAGACCCTGCTGATGTGGATATAATGATGGGGACATTTACAAAATCATTTGGATCTTTTGGGGGCTACATTGCAGCATCAAAGGTCTGTTTATTTTAATAATCTTTAAATAGTTACAATATTGAGATTAATTTTAGATGATGAGCTGATTAATTTTCCTTGTACCCGGCCTCTCTACCAGGAAATAATTCAGTACTTGAAGCACGCTTGCCCCGCACATCTTTATGGAACTTCCATGTCACCGCCTGCTGTACAGCAAGTAATATCTGCAGTCAAGGTTATTCTCGGAGAAGATGGGTCCAATAGAGGTGAACCTAGCTCAATGTCATTACTAATACAATTTTTTTTCTCCACACGTCTGTCTGTATTGGAATGATTCTGACTCGTGAACTGTATTTGTATAGGGGCTCTGAAGCTTGCGAAAATTCACGAGAACAGCAATTTCTTCAGATCAGAACTTAAGAAGATGGGTTTTGAGGTTCTTGGGGACAATGATTCTCCGGTGATGCCGATAATGCTCTACAATCTGGCAAAACTCCCAGCCTTCTCCCGGGAATGTCTGAGAAACAAGGTGAGTGTCTTGTGTGAGAGAGATAGAGAGAGAGAGAGAGAGAGAGAGAAACCTATGTTAAATATGGTTCATGATGCATGATAGTGGAGGAGCTTTCCTCTTATCTCACCAAACCCTAAAAAGTTGAGGCGAGTAATGGCAATTGTTGATGAAAAGTTGTAAATTGCAGAAAATTCCAGCAGAACATTGAGTGGTTGTTGCACAAAGCCCTCAAACTCTATAAATCATAGAAAACCCCACCAGAAGTTTATAAATTAGGGAAACCTCCCATGGACTTTCAAAATTCCAGTAAACCCCCTGAACTATTGGAGAATCTCTTAAATAACTTTGACATCTATAGTTAAAAGCCTGAAAATGTCATATGGTTGTCATATCTTGTTCTCCTGCATGAATGTTCGCCACTTAAAAAATTTTATCGCAAAATTTTCTTCGTAATAATTCAAACTTATCACTCTACTTGTTAGCATTGTTTAGATATTTTCTGATAATTCAGGGGGGTATACTAGAATTTTGAAGGTTTCGGGGTTTCTCTGATTTTTAGAGTTCAGATGGTTTTGTTCCACACCATACAAAGTTTAGAGGGTTTGAGAAATTTACCCCAAGTAAGGTTTGGATACACAGGACTACAGATTCGTTTCAACCCAATGCTTAGTCTCAACCCAAAATAAGCTGCAACTCTTGTTTATCTTTATGAAGACCCATGCTAATTAAGTTTCATCCTCCATAAGCGTGCCTTACTTTCTTGGTTACATAGTTTAAGCTCACATAAATGGAAAATGGCACAGGCACTTTCTTGGTTACATAGTTGAAGCTCACATAAATGGAAAATGACATGGTGCCTAAGGGAACTGTATTCATGTCGCATTTTTGGTCCTAAGTTTGCGCGTTTACTTCCTTTTATGACATCAGCTCCTCTTCACTTGGCTGTAATTTGTTCCATTCTGAAATCACACCTTTGAAGAATTACCATCCTGCAGGAAAAGAAACAGTAGATTTCTTTTAAGTTAAAACTTAAGATAAATAAATAAATAAATAATTTAAAAATTAGCCTCTTCCAACTACTGTAGGTTGCAGTTGTGGTGGTCGGTTTCCCTGCTGTACCTCTTCTGCTGAACAGGGTTCGTATCTGCATTTCGGCTTCACACTCCAGGGAAGACCTCGTTAAAGCCTTAGAGGTACAACTAACAAACTGAATTCCTTTTGCTCCGTCAACATCTTATATAAAACAATAATCAGCATTTTAAAGATCCGTAATGTTTATGACAAATTACAGGTCATCAGCGAAGCTGGTAACCTTGTTGGCATCAAGTACTTACGGGTTGAGCCTCAGCAGACACGCGCTGAAGAGAACACGAAGAAGCTCGAGTAGGAAAATGTTGCAAATTCAAAGATTCAATTGCCATATAAAGCTTTTGAAGATTTATAGTACATTTTGTACGGTTAAAAGTCCGTGCTGGTATAGTGTAGTTCAGGTCCGTTTCAGTTGATAGGTTTTCCTTCTGTGTCCCTTTTCGCGGATATGGATGACAAATTCTTTGTAACATGTAAATTCAGAAGAAAGTGTAAACTAAACTCGTTTAAGGCGTATGTATGATTGTGTGTTGGAGTGTTAAGCACATTATATGACTATATTTGGATTTGCCTGTGATGTAGACTTCAGAATGTATTCTCACAGCTCTATTCTATACTCAGCATGTGTCTGCAGTCATTCAGTCAATTATGATAGTAAGATAAAGTGCAGTTTAGTTTTTCACCAATTTCACGCAATAATTTGACTCCATCACTCTCAACTGGGGGGGAAAATGGATGAGGTTAAAACAGGTAATGTAAAACTTTGAAAAAAATGGATGAGGTTGAAACAGGTATACACTAGTAGAAATCTTAGGATTGCTGACGACAACATCTCCTATGGGCGTCTGCTGTCAGTGTTGTTTACATCACTGACGGCAGCTTCTGTCAGGGATGATGCCGTTGGCGTTGTAATGAGGCCATTAGCGATGTTAACATTGCTGAGGGGACGTTCAAAATCGCTGACGGGACAGCCGTCAGCGATGTTGTCCCTTATATTTACATCAATTTTTTACCAACCCACCCTCCCCATTGACTTTTACTAACCCTAAAAAATTACTGCACTCCTCCGCTGCCGCCGCCCTCTCATGCCGTCAAACGTCTGCCTTCGTTGTCTTCTACTCGCTTACCCTCGCGCCG